GTAATTTAGAGCTAGATTTGGATGATCTAATGGAAGAGATTTTCGATAAATTTCAAGTGCTTTCTCATAAAAGGATAGTGCCATTGTATAGTCTCCTGTGGAATAATGCGTAGCAGCAATGCTGCTGTAAATTTCAGCTAGACTTTGATGATCTGATGGATGACATTTTCGGTAATTTTCAAGTGCTTGTTCGTGATATAACACTGCCATCTCGTAATTACCCATTGATTGATATATTTTACCGATTAAATAGTTATACATTATTAGAAATGGATCATCGAGTTGAGCAAATTTTTGACGAACTTCCAGTGCTGTCTGAATATCTGCGAACGCATCAGTGTAATTTCCCAACGTGAATTTTATATTAGAAATGAAAACGATGAGATCAGGCTTTGAGAAATAATCCACATCTATCTCTTGAAAGGATTTGGTTTGGAGTACAGTACTAAGTATTTCGAGCGTTTTTTCGAATTTACCCATCTTCTCCATCAATAAAGCTAGACGAAGCCATCCATTCGGCACATTAATTTCATCTCTTATGAAGTCGGTCAGACATTTCAATTGGGGATCATGACCAATAGTCAGTGTTAGATTAACTTGCCACAATTGATGTTTGATTTGTTTGATATCACCAATTCGAAAAACCGAATGCATTGAAAAAAGTATTTCTTCTTCTGATTGAAATTTACTGATATCACGTATTGATGCATAAGATGTAGAAGAGTTTGATGAATCAAGTTCCATGTGAAATAAAACTCCAACCGTATCAGGATTTTGACGTACACTATCGGCATACAATAAGGAAACGTCACGTTCAACACTTGTCGATAAGAAATTGTTGAAAGACAAAAGACCAGATTTATTTTTCTGTATTTTTCTAAAGTCAGCCTCTGATAATCCTTGTCCTCGATAAACGATCATCTTTGAAGCCTGATGATTTTGTAAGTGTTTTTGTTCGATTTCTTTATGAAGATCTTGAATGAAAAATCCCATCTTTATGATCATTTCGGTATCTTGAGTTCTCAAAGCTTTGTTAAGTGTAGAATATAAAAATTGTTTTTTTGTGTACCACCAGATAGTTGAATGATGTTCATAAGATTGCTGGAATTCATATAATGCCTTTGATTGGAAACCTTCTTCTGGAAAGGAATGAAGGTAGAAATCAATGAATTCTTTTCTTACATTATCATCATATTTCATTTCAAGAATAATTTCTTTGAGCAATTGTGTATACATAAATGACTGATCTAATGTGTCAAAATTTGGAGAAGATGTCGGTGAAACAATACTAAATGGTGTTAAATCAATCATTAGCCGAGAAACATCTTGTTTTAGTAAATCACAAATTGATTCGATTTGTGAAAAAATTCCTTTAACTTTTCTGTATTTTTTTATGCATTCATTATCATGTATTTGTTGACTGTTGATAATATAGATTGCATGAAGTTGAGTAATATCTTCAATAAGAGGAATGATTGATTGATCGAAGGATTCTGAAATAATCATGAATATCTTTTCATCTTTAACATCAGTAACAAATTCAATACATTGATTTGGATCAATAAATATTTTGACAGAATTCACGGCGTATTTCAATTTATTAATACAGTTGTCTATATCTTCGTCCGAATAGTTGATATTTAAATTCAACCAAATAACAATAAAATTCTCTGCAATGCGAGATCGTATGATTTGTGATAAGTTATTTTGGATGGTAGAAGTTGTGTTGATATCTGGTGAAGAATCAGATATTGCATCTGTTGGATCTTTAATAATACTTCTCGATTCAGTCGTTAAGCTTACATCGTCTACAGATGATACAATACTAAACTTCGATTCTCTTTCGTTCATCATATAGAGGTTCCGCTACAAACAGTAACTTATAGATATGAAAGATACAATCAATGTTAGACTCTTACCTGTTTTTATTACAATGAAAACTTGTTCTTCGATAAGAACTTTATTTTTTTTAAAGTCAACAGTTTTACTCATACCTGGTCTTGCACTATCATTTTTCCCAAGTTCACGTTATCTTTCTTATCATCTTAATGCGCTCCTTTTTTTACTGGTAGTTTTAGTGTTTATTGTGTTGGAAAGTTGGAAAAAAACAAGGTGACAAATATCATATAGATAATGGCATACTTTTTATTTCATATAAGTTCACAGCAGAGATGCCCATCGCGGCTGAAAATCTGCCGCAGCCTTAAAAAAAACAGCTGCCGCGCCGCGACGTCTTATAAGAAAATGTTCCCGCAGCAGTTTTCAAAAAAGTGTTTCTAATTTCACTGTTGCAACTATATTTGATCAGAGATATCGGTACTAGTCTATCAGATTCATTCAATCTCGAAGTGTTTCATTTGTAAACCCTGAAATTCTATTAAATTTATGCAGTTTTTCAATGTCCTCCAAAATAAACCTGCCGTTGCCGTCACTGTCACCACGGCAGCGACAGTGCTGCGATGGATATCTCTGATTCACAGGAGAGATATCCACCGCGACGACACCAGTGACAGCCTTGTATCTTCTAGGACCGTGGCGCAGCAGCGAGAGATTTCTAGTCGTGATGGACATCTATGTTTCACAGTCCATCAGTAGGAAAAAGATAATTTTTTCACTTGATCAAAGTAATTAATACGAGAACAGAAAGTATTTAGTTCATACTTCGCATACTATTCTCTGTACAATACAATTTGTTTTCAGAAAAAAAACAATGATTCATGAAATTGCAACAAATTTATTCATGTAACCACTATAGAGAAAACAAAAAAAAAACGACTAATAATTAATCATGTTGTCATTGTACATCGGGCAATCAAAAAGTTCTGAGAACTAGTAACATTCCTTCAATAAACAGTACATTATATCTATTTGTCTACAACAAATGTTAGAAGATATCATAATAATTTTCAATAATCTTTTTATATTCATCGATGTGTATCAAACTGATTGTTTGACTATTAATTTATTGCATCTAGATAGATATTTAATCTATATTTTAAAATAGTTAAATATGTCTGATAGACTATATCTTCAAAATTCTTTCTTTGAGAAATTTAATAACAACATTTTTTATATGCGGTTTGCAATACCATGATGGATTTGACAACAACGATATCTCCTGATAGTCTTTATTGAAAAGTTTCTTAACTAATGTTTTTTAAATATTATTATATAGCATTAACAGACCATATAGAATAAGTAATGCTCATGTTATCATAAAGACAATAATAAATATGTTGTCGTCTTCTTATAACAAGGAAAAAGATTTTCTCCTTTTATAGACTAGGATTTCTCTCTTGTCTTTACCTAATACGGCAATATCTAATCTGTCTTTCAACGCCCATCATTATATCACATCATCACAATGTCTGTTTCATAAAACTCGCCAAACTTTTGGTACTGAATCAATGAGTATAACTAAGCAATAACCGAGTCATTAGTTTGACATATATCAATAAATATAAAAAAGATTATTCAAAAGTAAATCGAACATTGTTCTGATGTCTTCTAACATCTGTTGTAGACAAATAAATATGATGTACTGCTAATTGAAGGAATGTTACTAGTTCTCGTTCTATGTAAAATAAAACTTAACATTTGTTTGTTATGACTGATATTGGATTTAAACTAATGGATAATCTACAGAACTAAACATATTAATATCTTGAAATATGTTAATTTCTATTGTTCATATATTTTAATACGAGTTCATACGATCTTATTTTAAAGTTCAATAAACTTATTTAAATGTATAATAATATTCATACGACCTTTTCGTTTGTAATTTATCAAGTTTTGACATAATCTTTCTTTTATATGATAATCGTAACTGATAATCATGACTGTTTTTCTTTGAGAAGGACAGTAAACACTTGTCAACACAATATCTGAAATATAGTTGAAAAATAAGGATTTAATACAACTCAACACTTCATCTATTGATATGACCACTTTCAAGTACTTAATACATTTTTCTTTTTACTTATTCTTTCTTAATATTATTTTTTTCTGTATCAAATATCTAGAGCAATAATTCAGATTTTTTTTTTTCTCTCGAATTATTTTTTTATAGATGAAACCGGATCAAATAGATAAACACATCAACATTCCAGATAAAAATAATACAATGCTCTGAGATTTCTTTTTTTTTGCTTCTTTTTGAGACACAAATAATAAAGACAAGAAAAAAAAAATATGCTAGAATAAAGCATATAAAGAAGAAACAATGACAAGGTCATAACCAAGACATTGATAGAAAGAAAACAAAGAATGATAACATTCATCAAGAAAATATTATTCATGGTATAGAAGAGACAACGACAGATCATCTAACATCAATGTATATGGATAATATTTTGGTTTCTGTGACAAAATCTTTTTCTCTCGTTTTATCGAATTACCATCAGTTTGATGACATGTTAGAAATGACATTTCTAACTAATAGATTTTCTTTGTATATACAATGATTGTATTTTTGATAAAAACATCATTTATCATACAGTATGAATAGATTATTAGGCCGTAATTTAGCGACCTCCATCATTAAATTGAATTTTGTTTTAATTTGTTCAATTAAGGGGAAAACTATTGTCTACAAATTCTGTACATGTAAATAATTTTTAAATCTTATAATTTTTAATAGTATGACGCACTTCATATAAATGAATCATTCGATTGGTCATTCAACCGATTTAGTCATTATTCATTGAAGTTAATATTATTACTTTTTTTATTTTGACATAATCGGACAGTTTTATTATACAGAAGATGATTGATTTAAGATTTTTTTTTTTTTGTTTTAATCAAAACATTCAACAATGATCAATAGATTTTTTTTTTCTTATTCAATTATTGACCTGAAAAAAGGATAGTTCTTATTTATTTTGAATCAAAAAAAAAATAAAAACGATTTTTTTTTTCTTTTACTTCTCACGTAAAACAAGTAGCATAGTTTCTTCTTCTTTTTTTCTCATAAAACGTAGATTGTAATATAAACAGATGTCTCTTATGTGTATTTGCTCGTTTGCACTCTTGGTATGAAGGATTGACCGTGCCGGAAGAGAATAGCAACGACGATAGACATATAAAGAAAGAGCGAACAAATCATATTGTCAATTTTTTCTTCCTATTCTCTCTCTCTCCCTTTCTCCTTTTCAGGGTAATACAAAAAAAACCGAAGCGAAAAGAAGAAAGAAGCAGCCTATAACTCAACATCATTATCGGTGACACCGCCACACGCGAAGCTCCCACCATCTTGCTTCGTGATCAGATCACTTACATATATTATTGTCTGCGTCTTCTTCGTTGTCATCACAACTTCTTTATTTATTATTTCAAATTACTGCTTCTTATTCATTTTTTTTTGCTTTTCTCACCTTCTTACATTACATTCATTTATAAGTATTAACTTATCGACAGTATCCTCCCAACATCTCTCGTCTGATCATAAATACAATATCGAGACAGGTAAATGACTATTATAAACGAAGAAAAGAAAAATGAAGTTCAATCACACGATCATAAATAATGGTAATATCGTACAATTATTAAATTGACCCTTTGGCGTTATGTTCTTCTTGTCTATATAGAAATGACATTCATCCCATCTATATTCTCGTTCTGGTGAACGCGAAGTAGTATTTCTTATATAGATGGAAATACTTGTACGTGTGTTCTGTACAGAAGTAGTAAGGCGTTGTTATAATAAAGAACGAGTAAACTGACAGAGAATGAGAGAGAGAGAG